TTGTCTTAGTATCTGCAATAAAAAGAACATAAGGTACCTGTAAATACCATATTGTACCATATCACATTTAGGTATAGCTTAAAGTGTGTGAGGATATAGTACACGTGTGTAATTTCTTTTAGAGCCTGACCAATATTGGATTTTTGGGGCAGATATTAGGGAGTATATTCCGATATCGATATATATCAGCCCATATACGAACACACACACACACATATATATATATATATATATACACACATGTATATAAACATTTGTGATAGGCCAATATCAGCCAACCGATAAATGGATTGGGCTCTAATTTCTTTCCCTGAATGATTTTTCTCTTGATGTCAGTTGTCTAGTTGCCATTGACCGATGGAGTGGATGGTGTCACTATGTCTCACAGACTGACCAAGGAGGAGCTGGATGAACAGTTTGAGCTGTTCTTAAAGGAGGTAACGTGACACTGTACAGGCTACTGTGGTACTGCTCATGGATTATTTGTGGTTGTGTAAGGGTTGCATGAATTGCACAATATGGAATTAATCATTCATCTGTAAATGTTAATATGCTTCATAAACAACATCAGAGTATAAACTGTAAGTTAAAACACTGACTGGATGTTAACTTGTCTTATATTATGTACTGTAAACCTAAAAGAAGAACAAGCAGCAACAATTAATCTATCAATTATTTTATCTATTAGTCGATTAATCTAAATGATTCATTTTCCTCCAGAAAATCTAAATGACACTCTGGCATGATCAATAAACCCAGATTCTGGGTTAGACATTTTCTCAAACACTTATTCTGTGTAAATCCTCAGGCAGCAGCAACAACTTTTTGGCTTGATGAGAGTATTTATCAGCTGCAAGGACAAAAGATATTAAAAAGCTCTGACTACTAAGTGAACAGACAACACTTACATGAAGTAATCCTTCACATGTTTGTGACTGATCTCATTGTGCGCTGTAAGAAATAATAATCACAAAATAACACTGGTTAAACAAGAGTTATAGTGAAGGGATTTGAACTGTGATGTGCTCATCCTCCCAAGTCAGACAGTAACCAGCTGATTTTATTTTATCTTATCCATACACTTATTGATCCAGCGCCCAGTATTACTGGTTCTTTTTAAAAAAATTATAAATTCAGAACAGGATGTGAATTGATTGTTCTGGTTTGTCTCAGTTGTTCAGATTACAACATTTTAAGTTTTGTGGTAAACTAAGACATCAGTTAGACTTACACACAGACAGCTTTCCTTTTAGCTTCTCATCACAGTTCACTATTAGCTAAAAGACACTAAAAGACACTGGGAGTCGGTGGAGGAAATAGATAAAATATCTTTTTTCTGTTTGTTGCTTGTTGAACAGGTGGTTGTATAAAGTTCTTATTGGCCTTTTACTTTTTTATTGCACTAACAGTAACGTAAAGTTCAGTGATAGTGGTTGCAGGCCAGAGGACAGAGAAGCAGTGTGGCCATAGCTGATTTAGAAAATAAATATATGGGGGTTAATAGTGACTGGCCGCCACAAATAAATCAATGTATGTATGGGAAACAATTTGTTGACGTAAAATATTGACATCGACGCATTTTCATAGTCAACGTTGTCGATTATGGCAACTAATCACGGCAGCCCTACAAGCAGCTGACCTTTACTGAAGATCACTGTCTGCGTGATAGTTGAGTTTCCAAATATAAGCAGTAGGTGGCTTGGTCTTTTCAAAGTACACACATACTCAACATCTGCGATGGACACAAAAGGCAAAGGATGCCATGGTTTAAAACACAGTCTTGTCCTGAAGGCATCTCTCTGACTAAAACCTGATTCCCTGTCAGTCTGTTTCAGATGACTCGGTGGACTTGGGCGGCTCTGAGAAGCTGCCTTGCGCTAAAAGCAGCGAGAAATCAGCCCCAAAACCAGCAGTGTCATGGTGGCAAGATGACGAACACAATGGTGGAGGAACAGGGAGAGGTAATAATGAGAAGTGGACTCTCTATCACACTGGACATGTTAGCCTTTGGCTCTTTTCATAACGAGGTTGTGTAATGTCAGAGGGTACGGCTGTGTCAGTGTTTAAGCTCTGCAGTCCAGGAAGGAACTGAGGGAGAATATTGGCATATGTTATAGGATTTTATGACTGCCATTAACAGCTGACAGTCATCAAACGCCCATAAGAGTAGATTGTAGAGAAAAAACAAATGGAGAAAGAGAGAGAGAGCAGCATTATTCCTCCTGTTTGCTATAGATAAACCATGTACAATGTAATGCCACTATTTATGTTGATATGTTGCGTACTTGTAGGATAGTTAAATGTATATTCTCTACATCCCCATCTGAAAATGCATTTGGTCCTAAATTAGAACTCAAATAAGATATATCTATATTTGTGTTTTTTTTCTGTACGCTTGTCACTGGTTTGAAGTGGGCGGGAGTCTGTTGGAAGAAGGTGATGTCAGGTCCTTCTGTGCACCCGTCAGGATTTAGCAACATTTGAATCACAATCTGATGTTTCATCATGTTCTTCAGCGAAGTTTAATCTTGCAGTTTTGTGCTGTTTTGTTGGTAATGGTTTTTGTTTTGGATGCCGACCATACAGGTTTACTTCATGCAGTGTCCTCCACATTCTGATCAGTCACTGAAACACCATATTCACAGATAATCCTTGTGCCAAGTCGGTTTTATATTGTAAGGTTGTGTAAATAGTGAACTGTGTGTGGCATCATTTTTTCAGGATAGCCAATGCACCTTCTGTTACGGGTAGTATGGTTCTTCCTAACTACTGCTACAGCTGCGGGGCTTCTCAGTTTTGTGGTGTACTGTACATCAGAGGACACTGGGTGGCAGTGTGGGGCTATGAGAGACATGAAAGTCCTAGAGGAGTTTCATTTCTTACCCATTTTAACATAAATGAGGATTTTCAGCCTTTAGCATGTAGATTTTTAAGGTCTATGAAAATGGAAAGACTCAAGTTGGAAAGTTAGAGTTATTACTCTTCTCTGCGGCTTGAGTAAATACAGCAGAATATTCATGCTGGTATTTACTTTTAGGTAATTTATTCATGCAGTGATTTTGGTTATTTAGACCTTTGTCAGGAATTAAGACTTGGCTGAAACACAGATTTGTCCAGGTTCCATCAATCTACACTCAGATTTAGTTCCAAGAAACACCTGCAGCTGATTGATTAGTTTCCTAATCTACACTCACTGAGCACTTTATTAGGAACAGCACACTTACACTTGGGTAGTTCCTCAGTTCTTCATGTCATTGATCCACCAGATGTTGAAACTTTCCTCATCACATCATGATGCATCACATCATTTCTGCTGAGTCATGCTGCCAATCTCCTGTTCTACTTCATCCCAAAGGTGTTCTACTGGATTCAGGTCTCAAACCAGCAATCACACCATGGTCAAAGTCACTGAGTCACATTTCTCTTCATTCTGATGTTTGATATGAACATTAGCTGGAGCTCCTCACCTTTATCTGCATGATGTTATGCATTGTTCTATTGCCACATGATTAGCTTATTGAATGAATAAGCAGGTCAAGTCAAATAAAGTCAATTTTATTTGTATAGCGCCAATTCACAACATAAGTTATCTCAAGGCACTTTCCAAATAGAGCAGGTCTAGACCTTCTCTTTATAATATTATTTACAGAGACCCAACAATTCTCACCAAGAGCAGCACTAGGCAACAGTGGCAAGGAAAGACTTCCTTTTAAGAGGCAGAAACCTCGAGCAGAACCGGACTCAGGGTGGGCCGCCATCTGCCTCGACCGGTTGGGTTGGAGATGGAGAGAGAGAGAGAGAGAGAGAGAGAGAGAGAGAGAGAGAGAGAGCAAGAGCACGGAGGAAAAAATGAAGAACCTGCAATGATAGCAATATTAATAATAGTGATAGCAACAGTAACAGCAATAGTAATGTAATGGCTGTAGTGCTGCTACTGATAAAGTAGTAATGACAGCTAATGACATTAATAATTATCATTATTAGTTATAGTAGATTTGAGCAGGTTTAGCAGCAGGTGTTGAACAGGATCATGGGGCAGTAGGTGGTTTGCAGTTGCAGATCCAGACTCTACAGCTGCAGCTCTGGAGGCGGGAGGACCTGCGGAGAGGAACAGGAAGGAGATAGAGAAGGAGAAGGGAGAGAGATAGAGGCCTTGGCACTCATGTGCTTCAGGGAAAAAACAAATAGTTAGAATGATTCAGTGATTTTCAGAAAGTTTACAGTGATCTCGTTGGCAGGACAACCTGGACTATACTGTACTGAGTTTACTGGTTTATTGAGACTGAGGCCCACCCACAGGTGGTAAGATGGCAACACGTACAGAGCCTGAGGTTGTAAAAGAATAAGAAGCTAACTGAAAGTTAACGCATAAAAATATGCACAGGTGCACAAGTGTTCCTAATAAAGTGCTTAATGAGTATGTATGCCGGAGAAACAACGTGTACACTTCCTGTGCGCTTGAACAGGATAAGGACTGTAAGAAAAGCTTTGTATGGATGAAACTGGAAGGAAAAACAGTACATTTGTGGTGAGGACACAACAACATGAACACACCTGTAAAGTTTAAAGCATTCTAATACAGTCTCTATGACAGAGGCTTTTTTTACACTACAATGTTGTGATTTTATTTTTTGTCATGATTGTGTCAGGTTTTGAATTACCTACATGATCGTTTGTGCGTCCACAGTTATTTGATGTGTATTATATTTGTCCTCATGTGCAACCTGTATTATCAGTGTGAATATGTTTTTGGCACAAGATAAGTAAATACATTAAAATAAATACCTGTAAATTAAATAAATAGATTGTGTGTTTGTAGTTGTCATTCATTACCCTGAGATAATGAGTTGTTAGATTAACTGACCTATATGTTCTACATTAAGGAACACAAACCTGATTTATGCCTTTCAATGACATGTTTGTGCAGGTCTGCTGGGTTCTGGGAAGTCTTTCAGGAAGTCTTTAAGGAAGTCTCACCCAATTCGAGAAGAGGACGAGGATCCAGGAGACACTGGTTTGAGGGAAGAAGGACTAGAAGCAGTTGTGCTCAGCAGAGACAACACAGAGACACAGGGTGAGTCCACAGTGCGCAGAAGTGAGCTTCTGTTTGGAGCAGATTACCTGCATGCATCATACTTGTGACATCTGACAACATGAGACAGCAAAGTTGTTCAACCTTTTTCTCAGTGTTTCCAAACTCAAGGAAACAATAAATTGAAGATACATAGAATCAGAAGACCACTTGAAAATTTGACAGTCAAAGCAGGGAAACTTGGTGCCTTCCCCTCCCTAGTTACAAACACTAATACCCTTCTTACGTCAAAATTGGTGCGCTTAAGTGGGTTTTTAAAATGGAGACTGAGGCCGGGTCAGACTGTTGTACTGGGCAGTTTCCAGGTGTAAATGTTTGGAACTGTACTGTACTATAACTGTATGAGTTTGGTCGGGGCGCTCCTGATGAAAAGAGCAGGGCTCTCAGTGAACTTTACACTGATCAAAAAACCCACTAACATCCACTAACATCTGGCTTTTGTTGTCAATGTGAAAGGGTACAGTTGTCATTCACTCCCGGTTTAAATGACACTGCAGTAGTCACAGGTATTTGTCGGCTCCAGCGCCGATCAGCACCCGGGTCAGCATGCTAATTTTTGCCCATTTCCTTTGCTGTGACGTCTTTCAGAGCACAAACACTGTCAACACACCTGTCACCTGCTCAGCACGGCACTGTCAAATCAGTTTTAGAGCTGTGCTGGTTCTGTAGGTATCTTTGCATAGTGCTTGTGTTAGCCGCAGTGTACCGCACTATTTTCTTACAGTGCTTACATATTTTGTGTCTTGTCTGTCACTCTGTCACCGTTTATTGTTTTCACCAGGTACCCAAAATGCTGTCACACAAACTATTTAAAAGTGGCGGGGGCATCTTCTATGCTGATTTCACCATCAGACTCTGTCATGTTGGCTGTTACGTACTAATATCGCGAGACAGCTGTCCAAAATAACAAGTCATGGAGGTCCACAGCAGCCTATAAGGAGTTTCTCTGTCCTGTCAGACACCTCACATTTCTCCTTTATTCTCACGCACATTGTGAGTTTTTCAGTTCAGAATTACCACAAGTGTGATTACCATGTGTGTTCTTGTTATGTGTGTGTGCAGGTGTGTGTGCAGACTCAGTGATGGCACCAGCTGTCAACATGAGTAGTATGGGCTTGGACACTCTGGAGGAGGAAGAAGAGAAAGCCAGGTTTTTTGCTCAGTTAGAAGCAGGGGCCTTGTCAACAATAGATTACTCCAAGCTGAACAGAGAGCTGGACTCTACTAGTTCTACCATAGGTACCAACCTCAGGTATGGAAACCACCTCGGTCTGATATTACTTCAACTAAAAGACTGAAACCTTTCAGAAATAAATCTATAGTGGTCTCCTACTAGATGCAATGACAATATCATACACAATGATAAAAAATAGTTTTGGTTCAGTTATCTGTATTGCTTTGGTTAAGTAACTGAATCTATTTAAAAGTTAAATAAATTCTATGAATGCCCACTGTGATTTGACAATAGCTCAACGAATGGAGCAATTACAGACCCTATGCTTCCTTATAGGCTATGTGATGCAGCGGCTTTGCTGCTGCTGAAGCTCAGGGTTGTCGCTGCACTGTAATGAGGATAAATATCTCCCCTCCAGGAAAGCAGAGGAAGCCGAGGAATCAGAGGAGCAGAGTCATGGTCAAAGCAAAGCCAGAGTCGCAGACGCCACCAGAACCTCTCCAGGTAACAGGAATGAATCCATTGCAAACTTACTTGTTTTTTTATCCCTCTGTGCTGCTGCGTTTTAATCAGGTCTTTTCTTTCTCTACTATAAGTCCATTTCACTTTTCAAGGTTTGAATGAAAAGACTGACCATTTGCTCCAGAAACTGACATCACATCTGCCCAGGGCAGTCTCAGAGAAGGTCCAACAAACTTAAGCCAAGAGCACAGAAAGACAGACACGAATATTCCTACAAGCACCAGCCACAAGCACTTGGAGAACAGAGGGACTTGTCCCCCAGAGGGACAGATGGATGATCAACCTGTCAGACAGGGAACTTACTAAACCAGATGTCCCAGCCAAAGCACTAAACTTCTCCATCATACCTCAAGAATTACTACTAGTTGACCTCATCCCAGAAACACAGTCATCCATAAGGAAAACAACAAAACTAAACAACTGAACAGAAATGGAAGTAGAACAACTCAGGTTGAAGGTACACACTAAGAAATGAAAGTACAGGAATGGACCTAAAAAGTTACCAAGGCTTTGTGACTCCAGCTGTACCCTAGCAGCGACTGTCGTTACAGCAGCCAGGAGCACTAATGAACCAAGTGACATCAGTGGCCTTGATAACAAGCCCTCAGAGGTTAAAATATCTGGGTCTCAAAACATCTTCAAGCACCTACCACCTAATCCAGTTGTTCTCGATTCAACTTTTCCCAGATAACCTTGACCTGGATAACTGAGAATCTTCAGACAACCTTTTCTCTCTGCTTTTACAGGCTCTCCACACTACAGTGAGGACTTTGAGGATGAGGAGAGTGGGAAAGAGCCACAGGAGGAGGTTTGTAGTTGGAATCTGATATGATAATAATAAAACAAAGTGGTCTTTGTTAAGTTAAGATCTTCGTCACCTCAACAATTATCCAAGATGGGGCATGAAAATTCCTTTGTGATCGTGGGAACACTTCGTGACATGGAGGGGTGGGAGATTGTAACTTGTCTTTTTTCAAAGATGATCTCTGTTATTGCATGTGAAAGCTAAGAGGTACATTACAATACATTTTAATCCAGTGTAATCCTATGTAATGTCACGTGTCCCCTGAGAGTTACAGACATAACAGTCAAACGTGAAGGTAAAATTTAATGAGGAAAAACTCAGCAGTTACTGATCCTCACAAAAATGTGACACAACACCCAGAGCCACCAAGCAGCTCTTGTCAGACAGGCTGAAATTGGTCAAAATATCTCAACAAGGTAAAAGTATGATTATCTTTGGATTGGATTTTCAGAGGTCAGCTCTGAAACAAGTTCATTAAGGCTACGTCCACACTACGATGTTTTCATTTTAAAACGGCTTTTTAAAATCAAATCGATCTCCGTCCAGACTAACACACCTGAAAATACACACACACATACATACGTTCATGAACACTGAGCATGTGTGAGCCGCTGTAAATATGAAGCAGATTGTCTCCTCTGCAGTTGATCAGTTACACAAAATACTACGAACGAGGAACAACAAAGACAGTTGCTGTCGAGGCTGATGAGATGCAATACAGAGTTTTCAAAATAAAACTAGTCCAGGAGCGTTTCAAAAAGTCTCTGTTTCATGCGCTTGAAAACTCTGGAGTCGTGTGGATGTCAGGAGGGAATAATAAAAGTAAAACATGGTAGTGTGGACATAGCCTAAAACGCTTATCACAATGTGATGACATGCTCGAAGATTTATCTTTGTTTGTTTTGAAATATAACAAATTGACAAATTATATTGTGACATGGTTCATTATTTAATGTTATCTGCTTTTCAGAAATCTAAGGTGTCTCCAGTTATTGCCAAAGGTAAGAGAAAAAAAAATATTTCACTGAGATCATGAGTGGAAGATGGAAAGGAATATTATCTTTTAGTCAAAGAGAAATTACAGTTTATGAAGTTGAAGACAAAACAAGCTGTACACAGCATTTATACCTTTACACTGTAAACCATGTTAACAGCTAATAATTACCTCACTACCAGATATATACTGTATATATGTGTGCTCTCATTAAAATCTCTCAGTACTGATTCATATTAAAGGTTGCCTGTATAAAAAAACAGTATTTTAGGTCTTTGCTGCTGTAATTAAAGAAGACTAGGTCAAAACCTAATGTGGACTGCGTATGGTCAATGTGTGAAATTGAGGATGTAGTTGACATCTGTTGTAGAACCGTGTTGTTTCAGACAGAAGCAGTTATCGTTTTCCCGTCCAGCGCTTCTTAATGTTTCTTATCAAACAGATCCAACAAGGACTTCATGATTCATGGCACTTTCCGCACTAGGTTATTTTAGTTTGATCTTAGGTTGTTTTTAGTAAATTACAATAAATGCGTGTTCTGTACAGGCCACTCATACGTGCAGAGTGGAGGCTCAGAGATGGAGGCTCTTCATGAGGCCTACAGACAGATCCATGTTGTGGAGGATTCAGACGACTATAATCACCATTATTCATCTGTGGAAGGGGAAGAAAGGATCCACAGACCTGTGTCTCCATCCTTCACTCCTCAACATGCCAGACAGTCTCTTCAGCCTGCTTCTACCAACGAGTCAGGTCAGACACTTACTGTAAACACTATCTGTGGGAATGGTAGATTCAATGTCTGTCATGTCTGTGTAATTTACTGGTCTAACTACAGGTATGATGCGTCCATAAAAGCAGGATCCCAGTTAAGGAGCTGACTCCTTTGAATGCATTATTCAATAAGACTGTCTCATTGCAAAGTTTCCTCTGAAGGATACGTCCACTGAGATATTCATGACAGGACTGAACTATGAGTAATAATTGTTTTGTGTTTGTATTTAGACATACCCACTGCAGAAGAGCTGATGAGGCCGATCCGGCTCGGAGAGGACCACATCAGAGGGTTCAGCCTACAGCCTGTCAGGTGAGGTCTGCAAAGTCTTAGAATTATCCAAAATGGTGATATCACAAGACATTGTTTCTGTCACTCACAGGTTGGTCCAGTTGTTGTGAAATATCTCAGATTTCTGGACTTTCAAATTTGGGGACATTCTGCATCTATCACAGAGATCTGGCATTGATTGGTCTCATCAGTTCATTCAGTAATTAGAATTTTACTTATACTTAAAGTGGCAATCTCAAAGATTTCAGTCCAGTGGCAAATAAATAGGCCTACAGCATCTTTCCAGGAATGCCGCCGCAGACACCCGATTGGTAAAACTGCAAATATGTAAATATTGCAACACTTTGATCAGTGGGACAAAGGCTCAATAACCACAGTTGCCCCGCTGCCCCAGAAAAAACACGATGGCAAAAGACGGTTGCAAAAAAGATATTGCCCAGCAAGCTCTGAAGATTGGCTGCAAACCTGCTGCTGTAAGTTACCAACTACACTAGGCGACTCACCTGCGGTATTTTGCTGTCCTGCTCTGTGTGTGGTCCTGGTCCTGTTGGCGTGCTGCAAGGTGACCCTTCCTATTAGTGCTAGGGGTGGAATTTATATGTGTCCTATGATGTGCCGCGGCAGTGTGTGCAGAGCTTAATCTGGAGTTGTCCATGTAGTGCTGGATGATGTGGCAAAAAATTGGTGACTGATGTCACCAAAATCAATCGCTAGAGACATGATTGACCTGATGTTACCTGCGTTCCCCTCTTGGCTGTCCTCTGTTCATCCCCCAAAACAGAGGTGACTGCCCACTTTATATCTTCAGCTCCATGTCTGTAGTGTCTTTAAGCTTGTCCTCTGGTCCTCCTCCTGGTTTAGGATCTCTGCTTTTAAACAATTCTTTCTTGTACCATGTTTTTGTATCTTTTTTGAATATCTTTGATGCTCCTGTCAGTTGTGAGATTAACACTGTTTACTGTCGCTGAATTTTTTTAATTTATTTTTATTGTTTCACTGTTCGCTGAATTTCCCAAGTGAAACATCCTTTTAATTGTTGAATTTTTCCAAAAGACAAACATTTTCTGCTTGAGTAAACAGAGCTGCGCGATTGGGTGCAGTACTTCAGTCGGCCATTTTTTTTTTTTTACTTTGAAAAGAGTTAAAAACTTAAAAACTTAATTTACCCAGAATTCATTGTACCACAGTCCAGTTTAAACTGCCACCGACACTTGAAGATTTGTGAAGTCTTCAATGTAGATTTATTTCAGGATCAAGTGGCGTCAGCTGTAGAGGCTGAAAACACAGACTAAAGTTTGAAATGTAATCGCTAAGAGTCATTTATAGATATTCAGACCAAATATTCTGTTCTTCACAATTTCCCATGAGGACCATCAGCATGTCACCTTCTTGTCAAAGCTTTCTTTCATACTGGGAACAGTTCAGTCTGACAAAATATAGACTCTATCCAAATAATGATACTAATATAATACATGTTATATGTAATATATAGAAAGAAAGTGTTTAGAATTTAGAATTGGGGGTAAAGTTTTGATACACTTTTTACATAAATAAAAACAAGAATACATTCTTCCTGAAACCTGAATTTTTTCAAAGCAAGTTACAACATTGACAAAAAATGTTTTGACAAGTTTTAGTTTTACTGTGGTTTTTATTCTTGACAATCTCTGATCACAGTGCTGTGGAACTTGACCAAGAACAAACATCCTGCTCCTTGGAAAGGACATTCCCAGATGTGAAGCGACCAGGGAAGGCTGACCCCACCGCAGGGATAAAGGGAGCCAAGGGACTGACTTCAAGCTCCTCAGATCCTCCCAACCATGACCTGACCTGGAGCATCAGAGAGGAGGTAGAGAGGCTGATGGAGGATCACAACAAGTCTTCTCATTACATTTCCTCTCAGGCTGGCGAAGTGAAGAAACAACTGGTGAGACAAACGTTAAACTTTGTGCTTGGATTTGTAGTTGGTTTAATCAGACAGAACAGATACAATTATTTTAAAAATAAAAATGGAACTTTGTTTATTAGAATAGGCTGATGTGCAGTGAAGAAATGGTGCAAAAGTTATTCTAACGATAGAGTGACTTTAGAATCCAAACCTTTTAGCAGCCATATCTTTTCATACAGTATTGTGTAACTGTGATGAATTATGGACACTTTTCCCAGACCTCCCGCAGCTCCACCATTTCTCATCCTTCTACACCTCCACTGAGGAAACCCACCGTGGCTCCTGTGCGAGTCAGGAGAGCAGAGGGGAGACCAGCAGTGACCTCCAGGTCGTCAGGGATCAGTAGAGCTGCTGCTACAGCCAAAAGCCGCTCTCCACAGCGTCCACAAAAATCCACAAAGAACCAAGAAAAAGAAGAGGACACAGGTTACTAGAGGCACTCACACACAAAATATCACGTTAACAAACTGCTCAGATGATTTAAGACGAGGGTCTTTGTCTCTATGATGATACTGGTAACAACCTATATGTTTGTTTGATTAGCAGAGCCAGGTCTGAGGGTGAGCAATGAGCTGGTGGCATCTGTGCAGTCTTTAGTGGCTGTGCTCCAGCAGCAGGCTGGAAACCAGGAAACCAGACCGACACATCATCCTCCAAACAACAGTGTAAGAAAACACTTGACATTAAACTGACTTTAATAATGAAAACCTTGCAAAAAGATCTTCAGTTTTCTACGGACATGACTTCATGCTAACACTGGAATGATAAAGAGACTACCTGGTTTGTCCACTGGTTGGTGATCATACAGACAGTGTAGAGGAGGAGCAGTAGTAGAGACATAGTAGTTAAACCAGTTCTATGTGGATAAATGTAAGAACAGACCCATAGTTGTTTGCACATCACTTTGTGACGCTGAGAAGATCCTAAAGCTTGACGGACCTACAGTGCTTAGCAACTGTTGCTAAGGTGCTGGACAGTTGCTGTTGGGAGAAGGATTATAGGATGGATCGATTGCCAGTAGGGCCAAAAAATAAATTATAATATTAATATAATATTTATTAAGTTAACTATTCAGACATTTTACTGTGACACTTGAAATTCAGCTCAGGTTCCTCCATTTGTCTGGATCATGTTTCTACACCTTGACTGGAGTCCACCTGTGGTAAACTCAGCTGATTGGACATGATGTGGACAGACACACACCTGTCTATAACTGGAGAAGAGCTTTTACCTTATAAATGTTACGTAACATACAGACACTGATATGTCTGGTACCTTTTGTAATGTCATAATATTGAAACAGTTTTTCCTTCATTAACACCGTTCTGTCAGGTTTGATTGAGATTCATCTGATGTGTTGATGTGTGGCTTTGCAGAGGGAGGAGAACAGCTCTGTGGTGGAGGAGCTGAGGCTCCAGCTGGCTCAGAAGGAGAGGGAGCTGCAGATGATGAGAGCAGGAGCAGAGGAGCTCACCTCACTCAGACAGCAGAACTTCCTGCTTCAAAGCAAGGTGCACAAACACGCTCACAGCTCACAAACTGTCTAGACTAAATATTGATTTCACCCTGGTTGTAAAAAAAAAAAAACATTCACGTTGTGTTACATTCTGTGTTTACTGAAACGTGTAATTTAGAGCGAGAGCTGTGGACTCTTTATTTGCTGTTGACTGGATGATGAAATATTAAAATCCGGCCCCTCCTTTTTATGTGTAGCTATAGTAAGACCCGGAGGGTGAACAGTCAACAGGGAGTGGTTGTGGTTTTCAGGCCGCTTCACTTTTTAGAAAGTTTTGCAAATTTATGAAAAATCTAAAATCTAAAAGTATTCCTCTGTTGCGGCCCTCCTGATTGTGGTCAGATGCATCCTGTTTGCTTTAATAATCCTTCAGATGAGTCCACCTCTATGCCCTGTCAGTTCCTGCCTTGGTCAGGGAGGTCACTGACAGAGCTTCAGGAGGACGACCATCTCATCACCTGTCTAACACCATCTCTACGGTGAAGCATGGTGGTGACAGCATCATACTATGGAGGTGCTTCTCAGTGGCAGAGACAGGGAGACTTTTACTTTTACCTTGCTTACGATTAATGAAAAATTACTTTGGCGCTCATCAGTTTCTCTTTTTGTTTGAGCCACGGCCTCTTCATATTCGACAACGTGATTGTGTTCCAGGTGATTAAACAAATTGATGCTGTTACCTTTAGTCACTCTCCGAGTTGGATTTACCGCTGTCAGGTGGTCGTGACTGATGAGACCCCAGGAGGCGACATTTCTAAAAAATCTCGGCCTTTGTCCGTCCAGACCACAAGACAACCCCAGAGTTTTCAAACTAAAATGTTTCCAGCAAGGTTTCCAAAAGTCTCTGTTTTAAGGGCTGGAAAACTCCAATGTAGCCTGAGGCTCGGTGTTTGTACTCCTGTCATCTATATGACCACCTCCACTTTGAGTGAACGCAGACTAACAGGGTAGAGCCACGTGGGTGAACACGAGCTACTATATTTTTAAGGGGCATTGGGGTAAGTGTTAACCAAACTAACCGACATGAGCAAGATGAAGTTGGTGAGAGGTTCTAAATGTTTAATTGTCCAGCCTTAGCCAAGACAACAGTGGAGTGGCTTCAGGACAAGTCTCTGGCTGCTTGACAGCAGTTAAGAGGACCTGTCAGGAAGAATAAGGCTCTAAAAAAGTTATGTAGCAAATGAGAGATTTCTTTTTTTGATATTTGATAAATTTGAAGTTTTCCACAAACATATTTTCACTTTGTCAGCATGGGTTATAGATTATAGATTGATGGGCAAAAATGGAAATTTTGTCCACTTACAACAAAATCTACAACACAATGCAGTGTGGAGAGGTCTGCAAACTGTCTGAAGCTGCTGTAGAAGCTGAGAGAGCAACAGATGGGTGATGTTAAGAAGCTGAGGCCTGATTGTGTATGTCACAGGTGGGTGTTATAATGTACAAACTTTCCACTGTTTTATGTGAATACACAACAGGAACAAAAAGGTTCTAATTAAAGCCCTGACAATAAATTGGTAAGATTGTTGTAGCCAGGTGTTTTAAGTAATGACATGACAAAGTGAGTTGGAGAGTTTGGAACTGTTGCGTTGCATTAGAGCTGCACAAACAATCGAAATATCATTAAAATCACAATACCACCAAGTGCAACATCTAACTCACAGGAGCGGCAGTTTTTTTGGTAAAGGTACAATGTGTCACAACAACAGACCGTAAAAGAAGTGTTGTGGTGCTACAGAGACACCCTGAGCTACAAATCATATTCTCCAGACGTAAAGGAACATGTTTGATTGGTACCAGACCAACAAAAATCACATCATCATCATTTTAAAAATGTTTTCAATGAAAATGAAATGGAAAAAAAAGATCATTCCAACTGAAAACGTGACTCATATCAAAATATCTGCCAAAATAATCGCAGTAGAATTTCTTTGCCTATCCTTCAGCTCTACTTCACACCTATTTTCAGCACTCCTCTCTCTGTGGGTATATCACAAAAGCACTAAACAGAAGAACAAAGGAGAGCAGTGATGCAGGAACGAGCTCTTTACCTGTCATACCCCCGCAGTCATTTTAATGCAGGCTGTGTGTGGCACTGGATGTAGATCAAATCTGTTGTTTGAGATTTGCAGGTGGTCCAAAGACAGAGTGGACATCCCTGACAGTAACAGAGGTTTTATCCATGCAGTGAATGTTTGTATTTTTCACTGATCAGCTGAGACGTGCAGAAGAATCCAGTCAGAGGAAGAGACTGAGCGAGGACACAGAGACTGCAGCAGAAGACAAGCTCCAACACATCCATAAAGAAATGAAGGAGCAGGAGACGCTCATCAAAGGCTACCAGCAGGTCTGTCTCACCGTCACCGTCCTCACCTTGTCTTTTTTCCCTCTTTGTTTTCTTCTCTTTCTTGTTGTGTTTTTAATATTTGTGCCATCAAACCCGCAGGAGAATGAGAAGCTGTACTTACAGATAAAGGCTGAGCAGGCCAAGAGCAAAGCCAACGAGGAGGCCATGTTTAATGAAAACCACAGGCTGCTGAGTGAGCTGGATTTCACCAGGTCGGTTCAGTCATGGTTTTCTTTTGTTTTACTTCAGTATTGTACTGCTGTCATCATGGCTGTTATGGTTTTGATTTGTTTTTCTCTGCCAGTGCTGTATTAACACTGAATGATATTTGTGTTATAACAACAGAGTGCAGCTGAAGTTCATAGCAGTACTTTTGGCTGTTTGAGTGTTACTTTGGTTTAGGATTGGTTTAATATTGGTATCATGTAACTTTTGTTTTTGTTTTTTCTGTTTGTATTTTGTGCCTTGACGTCAAAAAAAATACAATCACCAGAAGCAATCTGACAAGTTCATTCATGTGCATTCTCAGTAGTAGAAATATTTAAATATATTTTGCCACAAAATGCTACAAAAGAACTGCACCAGTTCGTCTGACTCACCGTTAAACTAATTAAACAGCACTTAAAAACCAACAAAAGTAATGGTGTGTCTATCTGAACTGTAACTTAATTGTAAAATGTAATTATAATATAATAAAATGTTAATGTATTCTCTGTGGCATTGTTCCATATTGACCAGGGAGCAGCTGAGTAAAACCTCAAGGCCTGTGGGAAATATCTGTTTAATGGATCACACTCAGCGCATCACAGACTTGTTAGCTCAAATCACTATGTTTCAGGTAAGAATGAGTGTTAGAATGAACATCTGTTTCAGCCCCTTCACTTATCATAAGATATATAAAAACGTGTGTGTGTGTGTGTCTGTGTGTGTGCAGAGGAATGAGGAGAAGCTGTCTGAGGACATTCACAGGCTGAAGCAGGAGAAACAGGCTCTGGAGGTCGACCTGCAGCTCATGAAGAAAGAGAGAGACCTGGCTAAAGCCCAGGCTGTCTCCACCTCAGGTGAGACTGCAGACACAACAGTGAAAATGTGGATATTAAAAGATTAGAGGCAGCTCCTTTATTATTTGGACATTTATCCTTTGTCAATGTGGCAGGTGATAAGACCTTTGAGATGAGTGTGTTGAAGGACCAGCACAGAGAGGAAGTGTCAGCCCTGAGCAAGAAGCTGCAGTGGTTTGCTGAGAACCAGGATCTGCTGGACAGAGACGCTGACAGACTGAAGGCTGCGACAGCAGAGATCCGTCAGCTCAAAGAGCAGGTGAAGCTCCACTCATTATCATGTTCATGGACTAAAGCTCATTTACCTTCAGTTCAAACATCAGTTCATTGTATTTATATACTGCCACCTGTTCACATGATGATCACCACACCGCCACTTTAAAGCTGAATAATCCACAAGGTTCCCCTGAAGTCTTCCATCCCCTTAAAGGGATAGTTCAGGTTTTTTGACATGGGGTTGTGTGAGGTAGTCATGCGTACTGGGTAGATTACCTGCTGTAGATTCTAATCAGTGCGCTCCCAGTCAGGAGATCTGACCGGGGGGGGGGCACCAGAAAAAACGTGTTTTAAACACTTTTAAAAACACCCACTGAAACTAGTTACAACAGCACTTGCCTTTGGCACTACATTTTCTCAACCGCTGAACTACCGTATTCCTACGCACAAACTTACAGAGCGCACTGTATTACTGCGCTTTCTGATTCTCTCAGCTGACCTTCGGCTGCGGCGTATTACAGTGTACTCCTACAGTTCTAGTGGAATGTGTTGGAGGTAGAGGGTGGGGAGCTCAGCTGGTACTGGAGGTGCTCAGTGCCACAGCATGGACCAATCAGCAGGACCTCTGTTTTAGCGGGAAGTAACAGTTTAACAGTTTGCTTACTGTGTGGGAAATTAAAGGTCCTCATGATTTCAGGTAGAGAAACTGAAAATGGAAGTGGGCAGAAGAAGCAGCGAGCAGCAGAAAAAGGTGAAAGAGAAATCAGTGGAGACGAAGAGGATGCAGGAGCTGGAGCGACAGGTACCTCACACAAACCAGCTGATTCATCAAACTTGTTACACTACAACTTCAGTGCTTAAGAGTCTTCGCCTCTTCACCAGGTGAAGGAGCTGCAGCAGATACTCCGACACAGAAACCCAAACTCCCTGCCTGCTCTGATATACGCTGCAGCCAGCGCTGCTGAGGACGAGGACTCAGCTAAGACGGCTCCGCCCACCGTCGCTGTGCTGGAGCACAGGGTCCGGCGCCTGGAGTCCGAGCTGGAGAACCACGACGAGAGCGCCAAACACAGTCTGAGGGCCATGGAACAACGATTCCACAGCGTCAAGGTACAACTGAAATCAGTACCACAGTCAATATTCTAATAACTGATCTAGAGACTTCCTGCTACTTAGTGTGTGAGGAACATTTAAGAGCAGCTCTGCAGGGATCACAAGGTCAATCAATAATCAATCAAATGTGCAGCAGTTTTTAAACATTTTTTAAAGTTAGTTTTATTTGTTCTCAGTTCTAAAGTTATAATTATTATTTTTATGATAACGATGCATCAAGTAACACTGTGAAAGCAATGATGAGCTCAGTCTTCGGCTCCCTGCAGCGTTACAGTTACTTTCAGCTCCTGTCTGAGCCACAACCTTTGATTCTGTTCGGTTCACTCTCACTATTCTCAGCAAAACCTCTTAAAACCCTCGGCCCTCTTCCTGCTGAGCAGCAAAAGAAACAGAAATGTACAGAAGCGCTGAAAGGAAAATGAATTTTTTTTCTTTTTTTGCCAGGATCACTTTTTTAAGTTTTTGTTATTTTAATTTATGAAAAGAAGCTCTGTTCTTTTCCTTCTCTGGGGTTGTTTGGAAAAAAATTTTTTAATCTATGAAAACAACCCCAGAGAGGAAAGTGGGAAAACATTGAGGAGGGGGGCATTTTTCTTTAACACATTTTTAGTTTTTCTTCCTTCCCAGAAAAAGAAAATCACTTGCCTCCTGGATGTTGTTTATACAGATGTTTATACAAATTTGTATCTCAAAATTGTATCTGTGTGTGTGTGTGTGTTTGAATTTGTTTTGTGTTCGTATCTGTGTATGTGTATGTGTGTGTGTGTGTTTGTATTTGTATCTGTGTGTGTTTGCGTCTGTGTTTGTATCTGTGTGTGTGTGTGTGTTTGAATTTGTGTTTGTGTTCGTATCTGTGTATGTGTGTGTGTGTGTTTGTATTTGTATCTGTGTGTGTTTGCGTCTGTGTTTGTTTACGTCTGTGTTTGTATCTGTGTGTGTGTGTGCGTTTGTGTTTGTATCTGTGTGTGTGTGCGTTTGTGTTTGCATCTGTGTGTGTGTGTGCGTCTGTGTTTGTATTTGTGTTTGCATGTGTATCTGTGTGTATTTGTGTTTGCGTTTGTATTTGTATGTGTGTGTTTGTGTGCTCCATGTAGCTGCGCTACGAGCAGCAGATCTCAGAGCTGGAGCAGCAGCTGGAACAGAAGCAGCAGGTTGAAGGGGAAAGCTCAGCTGCTGGGATCAAGCCCTGGATGTCACAGGTTCAAACTCTGGAGGCGGAGCTACAACAGGTGAAGGAAGCCCACCAGGCGAAAGAGAAATCTCTCGGCGAGCAGATTGAGTCTCTCCAGCAGCAGCTCAAAAACAAGGTGAGTACTGAGGTCATGAAGCACAGACAAGGACAGAACCTGAAATCTTAACTGCCCACCCCCCACCCCACACCCCCCAACAGGCCCAACCAAGTCCGGGCCGCCACCAGCGTCAAGCCGAAGCAGCGTTTGGTGTCCGGATAGAGCGGCTAAACCACGAGCTCGCCACCAAAACACGAACCATCCAGGAGCTGAGCCGCACTGTGGAGAGACTGCAGAGAGAGAGGAGGAGCATGCTGTCTGTCCCCAGCTCCCGACCAGAGACCTGCTCCCCAGAGACCAAGACCAAGACCCTCTCTGCAGAGACCAGACGACCACCAGGACCGACCAAGACCCTCTCTGCTGCTGCCAGAGACGCATGTGGAGAGGAAGTCCCAGCTGCTCAGTACGAGAAGACCTACCAGCCCACAGTCTTCTCAGGTAGGAATGTGGTCCACTTTCTTCTGAAGACTAAAATCCTTTACTTACCCTTCAGTCAAGGACAGACCAGATGTCATGTGATGCAGAATGATGTAAACTTTACAAAACGAATTACAGGTTTGTATCCAATAACCAAAGACAAGAGCACGACTCTCACGAATCATGAGAATCTCATGATTAGAGATTTTCACTGTGGTCTCAACAGAACGGGTCTCTGACATGCTGCCTGGATCCTGTGCTTTTCAGTCACTGTGAACAGTGATGCACCTGTTCCAGTTTTCTCTTTAAAAATTCTCATCAGGTTGTAGTCTGATACAAGCTGAGTAGGTTAGGGTTGGAAAACATCTCCATGACAGTCGTCTTAGTCCAAACGTCCATGACACCAGGCGACCTTCTGCTCTGCGGTTCCCTGGTCCGAGCTCTTCAGACAGCACCTGCTCTCCTCACACCTCTAACACCCTGACATGTCTAACTCACTCTTACTGTGCACTTCTTTCCCTGATCCCCTTCATTTTGTCATATTGAACAGATATGGTACTTAGCACTAACCTCCTTCTGCACCGAAGCTGTGGTGATTCCTTCACTGTCTCTTTGGATAAAATGTAAATGTGAGAACTCCAGCTCTGGTTATGAGAGGTGGTGATCCCTGAATGCTCCTCATCATCGTCAACTTCCATTTTTTTATGTTTAAAAAAGTGTATTCAGTTTATGAGTTATGATGTTTTGCTTTACTTTACATTTTTATTCCTCCTCACGGGAGACAAGTCAATTTCACACCAGTGGTTAATGTTTTATCTGACTCTGGAGGAGAAGCTGATTCTAGTTTCCAGTCTTATGTTTTCATTATCCCTCCAGCCACTGTGGGTCGAAGCCACACAAAATCATGTAAACATTGGTTTGGTACTCTCGCCTTGACTCCTCTCTCACACTCTGATCTCTCCTCCACCTTCCACTTGTGGCTGAGAACTAGGCCTACTGTCAGTAAGATGTAAAAGAGATTATATCCATCTGTTGGGTTGCCACCTTTTATGTGAAAAAAGGTGGCAACTGGTTTGGTTTTTACTTGACATTACATTATTCACAGCACTTTGAGGACATAGCATGAACGAAAATACGGGACAAATTGCTGTATCCTGTATTGATTCAAATCAACCAAGTACAGAGAAAATAAGTACTAGAATTTTGTTGGGAGGCGGAGGCGGCACGAAATTTGACGGAGGCGGCCGCCTCCCAATTCTCTGCAGGAAAAACCCTGAACACTCAAATGTCCTTATATACAGTGTTATTACAGCTGTGACAGAGTGGCTGATTGTTTTCATCTTGTGAGTCGGAGTCTATGAGTCCACAACGAGACTCTTCACATTTTAGACAGGAGGAATCATCACAGTGAGTGAAACCTCTTCAATGTTGTGTGTCTGTGACAGGGAGTCATATCTCTGAGGTTCTGCAGGAGAACGAGGCTCTGCGGAGGCGTCTGGAGCTGCTGCAGCTGCAGAATGAACAGGAGAAGGAGGCGTTGAAGGCTGAAGCTGTACAGACCAAGGAGGAGCTGTGCAGGTAAGTGTAACACCTGTCCTCTGCAGAGCGTCAGTGTGAGTGAACTACAGGATACACTGTGATGTTTCAGGCTGAAGCAGCAGTCTGCAGAGCAGCTGTCCTCCATACAGACTGAACACCTCAGGGTGTTAGACCAGCTGTGTGCCACCCACGCCCTGGAACACTCCTCCTCAAAGGTCGCTGAACAGGCCAATCACATCAACAGTCAGGAGGTACAGCTTCACCCATCAGTCATCAGGAAGTGCTGACGATGTTTCTGCTGCTTTAAACCTGGCGTTTACCTGCAGGTCCAGGTGAAACATCTGCAACAGCAGCTGGAGCAGCTGCAGGGAGCTAAAGAAGCTCTGGTGACATCCAGGACCAGAGAGAGTGCTCTGCAGAGGCAGGTGAGCAGCAGGCGAAGGGTTAATCTGGTGATTTATTTAATGCAAGAAGACTTTGTTATTATTGGTCGAATATTAATCACTGACTTTATGATAGGCAAATAAAAACTGTTCACACAGACTCACAACACAAAAAACATGGTGTGCTTAAATAAAGTCTGTCCAGTCACATCAGAAAACTGAATAAGTAAAACTAAAAATAATAAAAGTACAACATTAAAGGCAGCGTACTTAAATGACAGTTAATCAAGAAAAAGAAAATGTGAGTGAATGAAGTTTGAACATTAACAACATATTTTAGCAGCTGTGACACCAGCGCGTGTTGAGAGTAACTCAATGACGTGTTTCCAAACCCTCTCACAGTGGGACAGAGTATTTGCCTGAGTTGTAATTTGTTGATGATTCAAGTGTCACTGAATGAAGACACGTCCTCTTTACTCGATTTGTACCAGTTTCCTCTGAATGCAACACAGAGATGGAGTCCCCCTGTGCTCCATCAGTGTTTGTATCTAATTATATTTTCATCAGTTGGTCTAAAGGGCTAGGTTCTTTTCGTTCTGTATTTCAAAATAAATGTGTGTCTGTGACATTATTATGTTTCATTTGAATTCTTTTTGAACTATTTTGAGTCACTGTTTCCATCAGCTGAGCAGACTGCTGAAGGAGCTGAAGGAAGCTAAAGAGGCTCAGAGTCCAGAGGTGAAGCTCCTCTGTAGCCTGGAGAGGAAGCTGGTCACCATGGAGCTCAGACACCAACACAGAGAGAAGGAGCTGACGCAGGTACACATGATGGAGGGTGTTACTGTTTGTAGGCAAAACATCTGAGGAGCCTGAAGGACTTATTGAACAGAGATACTAACTGACCTCAGTACCTGTTTGTCCCTCTGCCTGCAGGTGATTGGTGGATCACGGCAGATGCTGGAGGCCAACCAGCAGTCAGAGGTGGAGCGCTGGAAACATCTGGCTCAGGACAAAAGCAGAGAGCTGGAGGCTTTCCGTCTGGAGCTGGACTCCATCCTGGATATCCTGAGACACCTCCAGAGACAAGGAGTGGTGTTCCCCCCCTCCTGACCCCCCCACCACAGCCCCCCCTCAGTCAACACACACAACCTCTGACTGATTGATAGTCAGTGTGATGTTGGTCAGACATGGACTCCAGATCCAGATCAGTGTCTGACTAATATCTGTAATATTCACACATCCCATCTTTTTCTCTTTGTAGTAGCTTTGTATTTTTTATTTGTATCACTGTAACTTATTTAATATTAATGAAAATAAATGTTCAGATCTTGTTTAAGTGTGATTCAGTCTATCCTTTCATACACTGGCCTCTCAGTCCTTTGTATTCAAACAGCTGCTGCGCCTGATGAATCATCACCAACTAACTGCTGCGTTTACACAGTCTGGAGAATCCACTCCACTTTATCCCACATTCAGTTCAAAGAGCTCTTTCTCTTACCGAGCACGCAGGTGGAAAATATGTGTTAAAAACACAGCACTAGATCTCATCTGTCAACATGTCATTGTAGCAGCTTTAATAAACTCCACATACAATAAGTGGTAGAAAAAAACATTGTGATGACTTTGAGCCTTATCAGGAGGGGGTGCTAAGATTTAGAAAAGACTGGTCATTAACAAGAAGCTCAGCAGATACAAGACTCTGACAGTGGCACCAAAAGATCAGGAGGTCATTATAATTATTTAGAATTTTTCTCTGGGAACCATGTTGGTTAAAAAACAGCCTCTATCATCAGGAACCAGTTAATCTGTGTATTAAAGCTCCATATTTTCCTTTTCTCCTGTGTTTTATTTGAAGTGTCCATCCATAAGAAGATACATTTGTGGTTCCTCTCTGTAGTTTTACATCTCCTCTCTCAGGCTTCTCTCTGGAGGTCAAGTAACAACAGGTCGGTGAGCCAATCAGAAGAGAGGAGGCTCTGAGCCTTTTCTAAGTAACAGTCTATTAACGTTTAGAGACAGGCTCATTTTACAATGTGGGGGTTGTACACTGCTCAAAGAAATTAAGGGAACACTTAAATCACACATCGGATTTTGATGAACAAATTATTCAAGTAGAAAATCTTTACTGATGTAAATTGTATAATTTGTTGAGAACAAAATGACGTAACAACTGTCAATGGAAACCAAATCATCAACCCACTGAGGGCTGGATTCACAATCACACTGAAAATCAAAGTGAAAAATTTAAATCACAGGCTGATCCAACTTGTGTGAATTTCATCACAGCATCTAATAATGTGACTCAGTAGTGTGTATGGCCCCTGAGTCGGGGGCAACGTGGGGGCCAGTCAGTGGCATCAATGCCTTCATCATCCAGGAGCTGCCTACACACTCTGGCCACATGAGGCCGGGCGTTGTCCTGCACCAGGAGGAACCAAGGGCCCACTGCACCGGCATAAGGTCTGACAATCACCTAACAGCAGTCAGGGTATCGCTGGCCCTGACATGGAGGTCTGTGCGACCCTCCAAGGATATGCATCCCCAGACCATCACTGACCCACCACCAAACCGGTCATACTGGATGATGTTACAGGCAGCATAACGTTCACCACGGCATCTCCAGACTCTCTCACGCCTGTCACATGTGCTAATTGTGAACCTGCTGTCATCTGTGAAGAGAATTCTGGTGTTCTCTGGCGATGCCAGTCGAGCTGCGCGGTGCTGGGCTGTGAGCACAGGTCCCACTAGAGGACGTGGGGCCCTCATGTCACCCTCATGGAGTCTGTTTCTGACACTTTGGTCAGAAACATGCACACCAGTAGCCTGCTGGAGGTCATGTTGTAGGGCTCTGGCAGTGCTTCTCCTGTTGCTCCTCACACCTAACCCCAGACCTAATGCTGGACCTGATGCTGGACCTGATGCTGGACCTGATGCTGGACCTGGATTTGTTTTTGATCGTTGTACAAACGCTACACAGACGATCCTGTTTGGAAACCTAATGAGAAATGACCTTCCTGTTATCAATAACTGCAAAAACGTGTATTTTATCGATAACCTTTATATAATGAACTTTATTTATATAGCACGTTTCTTGACAAAGAGCTTTACAAAAAGAAATAACAACACATCGTCAGACTGACAGTGATGATGATCAGACACAAGCTGTTGATGCTGTTGTGTTTATTACAGTAAGAACAGTCTGAACAGTCTGACCTTCAAATGAAAGTTTAAGTCTTCATCAAGTGCAGAGTGAAGTTAAACGAATGATGACGTCACAGTGTCGGCTCACAAGTCGTTTTCAGTCGCACATCAGTACTTAGTACCAAACTCAGAACTCAGGTGGCTCAACTGGTAGAGCACGTACCACTTAAGGTTAGTCCTCATCGTAGCGGCCATGGGTTGGAGTCTGACTCATGGCCCTTTTTCATGTCATCCCCTCCCTCTCCCCAACTTTCCTGTCAATCTCTCACTGTCCCTATCCGAATAAGGCCAAAAAATAACAAAAACAAAAAAAAGAACTACACACTTCTGTCCTGGCAGTGTCGACAAGGTTTTACTGATAATATCTCAGATAATATATCAGTGCTTATTCATAGACGTAATATGACAGGAAGTTTTCGGTGCATAAACAGCAGCTGTGCGCTGAAGATTTCCGTCTGCTCTGCTGTACTGATATGATCCAGTGCTACACGACTTCATGTTAATGCCATGTTCATTTCATGTGACATCATCTGTCCCTCCTGCATGTACCTGCTGTTATTTCCTGGTGCTGGTTCTGATACTGATTCTTCACAAGACTTTTTTTCAATATTCATTTTTATCAAAAACTAAATGACGGGACAAGTTTTAGTTTTACTTTAAATAAACAGCCAATCACTAACAGTACTAACACTAAACTGTCACCACAGCAACAGGCCGCCTGACAACCAGTGTAACGTCAGTGTGTGATTGGACTGTGCTCAGCACCAGTAACATTGTTCTGTAAGTGTCTCATGTCAGTGTGTGTGAGGCAGCAGCAGGTTTCAGTCTGTGTGTAGTTTCTCTTTAACTGATCAGCTGTTTGTAAAGGTGAACGTCATGAGTTAAACCTGACTGGAGTCCAGACACCAGTCAGGTTTAACTCTGAGTCATCACCTGTGGTTCTGGTTCACCACGGTTTCATTCTCCTGCAGCAGCATCATGTAACAGGAACATTGAGGATCTGCAGGGTCTCCCCTGCTGGTGCATACTTCATCATTTACACAATCTCATCAGTTTCTCTTTGTCTTGTTATTTTATTTGACACCTTCACAAAGGTTCAGCTCACAGTTCTGATGAAATCCACTGACTCAGATAAACTGACCCACACGACTCTGTGACTGTGATCAGACCTGGGGGGTTTGTCTGTCCTCTGTCCGCATCATCAGCTCCTCGGTGCATAGAAATATGATTTTCCTTTCATGTCTCACAAACACAAGTTTTTAAATAAGGATTCTGTCTCTGTCTCTCTCTCTGTCTCTGTCTCTCTCTCTCTCTCTCTCTCTCTCTCTCTCTCTCTCAGACGAACAGAGTCTCAGCAGGGTGGAGCTGGGTGGGGGTGAAGCTGCTCAGCCCTGGAAGGCGTGGAGCTCCTCGTCACTGAAGCCCTGCTGCTTCAACAACCTGAGACATGAACAAAAAGAAGAGGAGGTCAACACACTCCGATACTGTACATACTGTATACATGTCTTCAGTTGTGACGCCCTCATTTACAACGATGTTGAGTAGAAACAAATACACGTATAAAAGAACATCAATTAAAACAAACACAAATATAATGAATAAATAATGTAATGACGAGAATCAATTAGAACAGGTACAAACAGAAATGAAAAGGTCAAAGATGAAGGATCCAAGAGCCTTGTAAATAAATAAATACATATATTAATCAGGCCTCAGCATCACTGCACTCTACAGTTCTTACAATTATTAACATCACTTATTAATGATGTATTGGTTTACAATGATCATCAGTGATTGAGATGAATCTGAGATACTGAACCTCTGATTATATCCTAGCTCCATTAGAGCCAGTGGAAAACGGAGACGGGCAGACTGAGTGTCACCTGATCAACCTCAGATTTTTACATTCTGCTTTATTACAATGTGTGACTTGTTGTTGTAGTTGTGGTCATTCTTCCTTTTAGTCATCAGAAAAATAAACAGAGTTAACTGCTGCCATCTTGGAACAGTGTCAGTGTACAATGACCAATCATTATTGACAGTATAGATGTGGTCAGGCTGTAATCTTAGTGACTGTTTCTCCTGTCTGTCTGCTGATGTCTACATCATAACATACAGGACAGTACAGGTAATGTACAGGTAATGATATTACACACCCTACAGTTAGCTCAGTGAAGGCAGAGGGGCCGCACACACACACATAACATCTGGACCCGTCCGGCCTGTTGAGGAAATCCTGGAGCATGGACTCGTCCACCCGACCCCTCCTACCAGTCCAGCTCTCACAGGGCTCTGAGAGGACGTAGTCCACCTGGAACCTGACACACACACACACACACACACACACACACACACACACACACACACACACACACACACACACACACACACACACACACTTAGAATATATACAAACACACTGATGTCGAACTGAGAATCAGCTTAAAGCCTGATGTACACTCATCCTGCAGCACTGTCATCTATTACATAAAGTCACATACTATCAATGTGTGAAAACAATGACATGCTAACAACAGTGTGTGAGAGCAGGTCACAGATGCAGTGGACATAAAAATACATGTGAGGTTACATCCAAAATCAAGAATGCTCAGCTGTTTGTCGCTATTATAAAAGACAGAATTCTCTGAGGTTCGCTTCAAACCTTACGTGACTAAAGTTTTCAGATTTAAATATTTCATTTTCACCAGTGTTTAACAGACTGTTTATCTTCACTTCATCACTGCAACAATGTTCAACAATCTAATCTGGTCACTGCAAATTAAACCTATGTGAAGCTGTATCATTACACAGTGAAAGTCTTGGTCTTAGACCCTGTTCACACCTGTTCAGGGGGGTATAAACTCAGAGGGGGGTATAAACTCAGAGGGGGGAATAAACTCAGAGGGGGGTATAAACTCAGAGGGGGGTATAAACTCAGAGGGGGGTATAAACTCAGAGGGGGGTATAAGCTGGGACAATAATTTCAAGCGTCCAATTCAACAATGTTTTTATAGTTGTCTTATAAGCACTTCCACCCCTCACCCCCCCTCACTGGCACCACTCACCACTTCATAATGACTGTGTTTAAAGTCTCCCCCTCTCTGCCTGGAAGTTCTCTCAGCTTCCTCCTCTGAATTCTCTTTCTGCTTTCCTTTTTTACAATAGATCATATTCACACGGTGGCCATCTTCCTCTGACGTCACTCTCAGGGTGGGAAGCTCAGATTGTTGCTGTCACTGAAAGGACAATGTGTTTCTGTTGTGTTCCAGGTTGTTACTCACATAAACGTCTGGAATCTGAAAAAAAGAGCTGTCACTTCACTGCTTCCCGATCGATCAACAACTGAGAAAACGATGGACACCCTGTATGACGGCCGGTTTTTACACCTTTGCTCTGACGACGCTGCTGCTGTCCACAACTCTGACTGAAATCAAAACTTAACTGTCTGTGACGTCACCTGCTTCATTTAATAAAGACCTTGCAACATGAAACCTATAAGAAATGAGTAGAATAACACTCATCCACTTCACAACAATGAAAGGTGAAGTTAGTGATGCTCCTTTGCTGCTTCCTTTATTTTCAAATTATTTTGTGGATCCTCGCAAATTCATCTGCACATTTATCAGTTTGGTCGAATGAAAGTTAAGTAAGTTCAGTTCTTCGACCATCTTGCCATTCTCCCACAGGATTTACTCAGAGACATTAAAGTGGCTTAAAGAAACTTCCCACCCTCAGCGCGACGCCAGAGGAAAATGGCCGCCGTGTGAATACGATCTATTCACAACAGCTCACACATGCTCTCCCTAACACACTCCACCATCTCATTCATTTAATCTGTAATGACTAACATATGCAGGTGGGGTTGAGACAGTACCTCTCATTATTAGCAGCCAGTTGGTCCAGCTCGCAGCGCCACAGAATGTCCACCTCCCGCCGGTTAAAGAACAGCAGCCTGATGTTTCTGAAAACACACACACACACACACAGAGTGAATTTAACAGATGTGTTGGATTTGGACAAGTAGAGTTCAGTGTTTTGCCTCCTGCTCTGAGTCTGTTCCTACCTGATGCTGTCAGTGTCCTGCAGAACCAGGTGGATGAGGCGAGCCATGGGTGTGAATCCTGTGCCTGCTGCTAACAGGTAGAGGTATGTGACATCACGAAGGGGGCGGGCAGTGAACGTCCCCTCTGGACCACTGACGGATACATGGTCTCCTGGAGAGCCGCGGCAGACAAGTGAACAAGAACATATAATTCATGTAATGACTCCGACAGAGGAAACAACGAGTATTAACGCAAACATTAAATAAAGTTTAAAGGAAGAAGAAAGATTTTTGTTCATCAATGATATTGAGTTTTTCTTTAATTCCTTAATTCCTGACATAACTGCATCCAGGAGAGAGTGAATACTTGTTACACAGCAGCAATTATTATGAGTTACTGGCCCACTGACAAGCTAATCATTTACAAGTAATTATGAAGAGTAACTCTCCCTTTCTTACTGTTGAAGTCTGTGACATTTCCACAGTTTCATCTACACATTCCCATGTTCTCCTGAAACACTGCTCACTCCTAATCTCTCGTAAACTGGTGTATTAAAATGAAAGCTGTTATTATTTCAGTGAGTCACAGGCCACAGCACTGTACATCCAATATTCATTTAAAGGCTGCATCTAATTTGTCATCCCATCTCTGTTCCAGTTCCTTTCAAGTTCATTAAAAAATCTCCTGCTGCATTAATAATATTCTTATAAATAGTCCAACAATTTAGCTTTTCTCAGACAAAGTTTAAAGTTATCATCTTTAACTTTCCAAATTAAAATGTCTAAAACAACTAGAACTACAGTATGTTCTATATGTTGTTGAGTTGTGTTCTTACATTATCTGAAATGTTTCCATCCATTCTCAAACCAGAGAAATCTGTGATTTTAATCATGGTAACGTTTCATTGGTCGCCCGTCAATGACATCATATCCTCTATGATCATGTGTCAGTGTGTTTTTCTGACAGAAGCTCAACATTGACTTTTATCTAGTTTTAAGCCACAAACACTTTTTACACCTCAGTGGTTTTCAGCTCTGTATTTGAACCAGATGAAGGATTTTAGTCGTTGGACGTCTGGATCTGAAGTTATCAGAGAAACAAGCTGAGGAAATGTTAGACAGCTCAGCTCCCAGCTGCTGGAGACGTCCTGTCCTGTGTCTCTGAAGAGCGTCTGTCAAACACTGACTTTAAATGTGAAACGGCTTTATTCAGTGTTTTTAGAATAGAATTGTTTGACTTCCTGAACCACTGACACTAAAGGAATCCAAACTGGGAGGAGCTTATGGTAATGGTGGTGAAGACAACTATTACTATTACTGCTATTTCATGACGTCACCCAACGCCGTCTTTTCTGATTGTTTTGATTGAGACCCCTAGAGGGAGAGGTTACACACTGCGGGTTTAACTACAGGTGTTCCTGATAAAGTGCTCAGTCAGTGTATGCACATCTGATCCTCAATCTCTCTCTGCTCCTACATTATCCTCCTCCTTCTTTCCTCACACACACACACACGCATGCACACACGCACGCACGCACGCACGCACGCACGCACGCACGCACACACACACACACACTGACTGGGTGTGACTCACCGGGCTGCAGGCTGTTGAGATGTTGGGTGAACACTCCATCAGGATAGACTTTGATCATGAGGTAGAGGTCTGAGTCCTGTGAGGAGCGGAGGGAGGCAGCTGCCATGGTCTGGTCTACTGGAGTGTATGGCCTCACTACCTCTGTGTCTGCATGTGACAGAAACAATAAGAAAAACACAACTCAGTTTCAGAATTACGAGCAGAGTCAGACGAGTGGACATTGCAAACCACCTGCCAATTTCTGTGTTTCTAGGTTTTTAGCAGAAAAACATGAAGAAACAAGGTAACGAGGTGAAATGCTACATACTTCCAATAACCATTAGGTGTTGGGGGAAAAAGAAGCCCTGGATTTAATAAGTGGTTGAACCTTAAACTCTTCAGTAGCTGCTGGAGGGCTGCTTCAGTCACACAGATTCTCAGGATGTCTGGTGTGAACAGCTCAGTCCACAGCTTCTCTACTGGATTACCATCTGGGCTCTGGAGGAGTGTACTTTTCCTATACATCCCTGGTCCTCCATACCTCTCTGTGTAATGCAGCAGAGTTCATTTCAGTGGGTGATTGAACAATGTTTCTTACCTTGAATGAGGGCTTTGAGGTAGACATGTTTTCCAACAGGCACATGCATGACGGTCCCACGTGGGAGTTGCAGTCTGAACACGTGGGTGTTGTGGTTCACCTCAGTCTTCGACACCAACACACAGTCCCGATAGTAGGGAGCTGAAACCAGGAGATCAGTGATGTAGACTTTTCATTGGGTTGTTAATAAACGAGCACATGTCCAGTGTTATGTGATGAAACTCTGCAGAGTCTTGTTCCTTTGATCTCTTTAACCTCACCTCTGTCTTTTTTGCGTAGAAACGTGTTGTGGAATTCCAGTGGTTGACCGAGACTGGTCCATTTTCCTTTAGATTGCTTGCGTATGCTGAGCTGTATCTTTCCCACGGAGAACGCAGTGTGAACTGGTGACGATAATCAAAGAGTGAGAACAAGCCGAAGAACTTCAACTCTGATCTTTCAAACGTTTTTCAAGTCAAGATTCTCACCAGAAACAGTTCCCTCAACGTCCTCAGTGAGACCTGGAAGAGCATGAAAACAATTCTGGTCTTACCAACACAATCTTATGTTTATCACCTTGTCTAAAGGCATACTATGAAAAAAACACAGACTTTAACCAACTGCTCTGTGACATAGTGTCAATAGTTTTTTACAGGACTCGGGTTCCAGTGCTCAGGCTTTTCTAATTCTCTGGTCACTGTGTCTAGTGTAGTATCTGAGAGGGACAGCAGATTTTCATGTTTGTTTAAAACATGTGCCTCAGTTCTGCAACAGCACATCATCGTTCATCATTGTTCTCTGAAACCTGTTGAAATAACAGAGAGAACACGAGCAACTGTTGTAGTTGAGTAACAGTAACCCTCAACAACTGTGTGATTTCTCAAAGTATGACAGAGAAGAACCTTGTTGTTGTGTTTGATCAGCTCATAAAAGACATCACCACCTTCTGTCACCTACTGTATGTAAGAGCTAATTCAGTCTTAATTAATCCATTAAACCTCGTATGTACAGTATTTCCATTTTATCAAGAGATTAATGTAAACTTTCTGAAAACTACTCTCTCTCTCTAAACCTCTATTTGTTTATTCTGTGAAGCACATGAGAGTCCAGACTCTCTCTCTCTCTCTCTCTCTCTCTCTGTACATATGTTTTGGTTGTTGGTCAATGTCCTCCCAAATCATACTCTTCATCGATGTTTACAGTCTATAATGTTGTCATCCTTATTGTCCATATTGTAAATCTGCACAACATCTACTGAATGTCTCTCCATCCTCTGTTGCTCTTCCTGAGAGTTTTCCCTTGTCCAGTTTGAGGGTCGAAGGACAGACCGTATTAATCACGGGGCAATTAGCCCAAGGACACTTGGACATGCAGACTTGAGGAGCCGGGGATGGAACCACCAACCCTCTGATTAGTGGACTGCCAGCTCTACCTCCTAATATAACACTTTTCAAAACAAAGTTCACGAAGGGATTTATGGAGAAAGAAAAGAGAGAGGGGGACTAAACTACATGTGATGCATCTCAGTGTCTCGCTCATGTTGTTGTAGAGGACAAAAAAATGAAATGTAGACAGCCACATCTCTACTCACATAAATGTATCATGTAGGACATTTTCCCCAGCAGGACCTCCAGTCGGAGAACACCGGCCTCCAGGTCGACGACGGTGCAGCCTGAGCTGGGGATCTGACCGGAAACACAACATGTCATCTTCAACTACTGACCAAGGCTTTTTTTGACGTTTAGCCAATTGGTGACTTCATCCTTCAAACCATTACTAAAACTAGAATCACCTCTTCATACAACATCTCTGCAATATACCTCATATGCTGCTACATTGTAAATCTTTGTAAATATCTAATGTATATATTATGTTATTATAGGACTAATATCTATCTTATCTTACCTTGTCTTATCTTACATTAATCATTTGTGTGAAATTTTGTCATAATTGTCGTGTGAAGTCTTGAGTAATGGCTAAAAAGTGTTTTGTGAGGTCACAGTGACCTTGACCTTTGGCCTTTGAAATCCAATCAGCTCATCAAATTCATGCCAAATTTGAAGAAATTCTCTCAAGGCGTTAGAGATACTGCGCTCACAAGGCCGAAACCAATTTGAGAGGTCACCATGACCTTGACCTTGGACCTTTGACCACCAAGATCTAATCAGTTCGACTTTGAGTCCAGGTGAATGTCTGTGCCAAATTTGAAGAAGTTCTGTCAAGGTGTTACTGAGATATTGTGTCCACGAGAATGAGACGGACGGATGAACTGAAGACCTGAAAACAGGCTCCACACCTTCACGTGTGGGGAGAAAGGTTGAGATCAGGAGGGGCCTGGTTTGCGATTGAACCTGTGTACAGATGAGCAGCAGGGAGACACGTGTGAAGAGTGATCTCTGTCTTCGTCTCGTGTACTTGGTCTCGCAAACTCTCTCAAACAGAGTCACTGACTGGATGCCTCATGGATGTGTGTGCGAGCGGTTACCTTTCTTTTGGCGTAAATGACCACATTAACCGTCACATCAGTCTGAAACCAGTCGTACCTGCATCAACAACACACAGCAGATAATCATGTGACTGTTCATGTATAAATGATGATAAACTTTGACACGTGTGGATCATATCTGTTTTCTTTTATACCGAGGCGTTGAGTCTTTGTCTCGGGGAGGAGCTGCTGAGGTAGGAGGGGCAAGGCCGGTCAGTGGTGGAGGAGGGACGATGGCTGAGAAGAGAAACAGAAAACTGACATGTATTATACAACTTGAGACAAAAACTGATTCAACTATTTTGCGTGTTGTAGTCCATTCAAACAAACTTGATGACAACCAGTATTGAGGTTCTTTAGATTGATTTCTTGATTTCACTCATTTCAATTTTGTATGAAAATGAAGCTGCAGATTAAAAATCCTTGTGTTTATTTATCTCTGTTTAAATCTCTCCCTTGTCTGAGTGTTCAGGACACAACACAAAAAGACTTTCAGCATCAGGGCCAACTTTTATCAAGCGTGTAAGAGTTGTAAATCAATTTGAGTGACGCACATTTGATCAAGAACTGGAAATAACAGCATCTTATTAACACATAGGAATCACTCATATCTGATCATTCAGGAGAGCTTCAGGTGCACTGAAGCTGTCAGGAGATGTCAGTGCTCAGGCAGAAACACTCAATGAGCAGTTTGACCTTGTTCAGGACCAATCGACCAGCTCCTCACAGCCTCACACTTTCTGACAAGGAAGATGCTTCTTTGTCACAGTGATCATTTTGTTCCATCACAACAGCTTGTCAATGTTTACCTGCAACCTATGACACAAATAGTAAATATCAACAGGTTGAAGATGTGTATTTTTAATTACAGGTCAACTGATACTGATAAAATTAATATCTGAGAATTTAAAGACAAACATGAAAACATGATTTAAACATCATTTCTGAGATACATACATACAGAGATACATGACTGTGATCAAGGCACATGATATGTATCTCAGCCTCAAGTGTACATTCTTACGTCATATTTTTGCAAACACAGTTCCTTATATTATTTGGCTTCCCATAAGTCACAGGTCACTGGTTTTAATGTCGTGGCAGATCAGTGTATATCTGTTAATGATCGGCCGGTATGAGTTTTTCAATGGCCGATGCCGATTTTTTTTTTTTATCTGATAAAATACAAAAATTTAATAACAATAACAAACGTGACACAAAATTGCTCAACATAACATGGTGAAAATTTATCGAACACTGTTGTTTGCATTGTCTGCAAATAGATCTGCACTCTGTCTGCAGTGCACTTATTTTAAAGAGGACCTATTATGGCCATTTTTAGAGTTCATCATTTCATTCTTGGTGTGGACTCAAAAACTAACTTACTTAAATTTACATGCTTTAATTTTCTGAAAAGACATTATTTTTCTTCTGCTGTACATTTTATACTGCACTCTCTTCACCCTCTGTCTGAACCGCTCTGTTAGAGCGCAGGGCTCTCTAAGGCCCCCCTCCTCCCTCCCTCCCCAGTATACTCTGATTGGTCAGCTTGCTGGCAATTACCATGGCAACGACACGTTCCCCACATCTTGAGTAAACAAACTTCGGATGACGAATATTCATAACTTGGAATATTTTTTATTAGAAACCCTTTTGATTTTTCATGTGTGGACACTTCCGGACTAAATAAATATAAATAAAGGAGGAACAGACGGTGGACAGGTAGGGAGTCTCCATCGCTTCACTTGCTGCTGGTTTACGATGCTGGTAAATCTGAATGAATTTAACGTTAGTGGGCATAGTTACTGAAAAATGAACTCAGCGGTTAAACTGTGGATAATTTATCTGAATGGTTTCATGAATGGTCCCAATCTCACTGAATACTCTCTCGCTGGGAACAGAGTCTCTGTCTATGGTGTCTGCATACATTTTTTGTTTAAATGGCCTTGTGAGCATTTTAATTGGCTGATGCCGATTTTGAAAGAATGCCATTAATTGGCTGATTAATCTGGTCAATCACTAATATCTTTAGCCTCATTCTGAACCATCAGTACAAATTTAGATTAAACACTTATGTTATAGTTTCAATTCTTTTCCATGGCTTCAACTAATAAACAGCAAAGCATCATCTTCACTTCTACTCTGAAAGTGTCATTAAACAGTGATATTACACTCTCAGTCCTCTGATGTAACAGAACCAGTTTAAATGAAACTTTGGTGAGAGTTCAATAAGTGACATCTCTTTCCTTTCTGCCTCCTGATCTATTTCTCTCTGTCACTTTCTCTTTCCTACACTGTCATATCCCTCCATTCACAATCCCAACATCACCATATCTGACCAATGATTTTTCTGCCCGTGTTCGCGAGCCAATCAGTCACTGGATGTCCAGGGAAACTTGTCCAAAGGTTTCCATCAACCACCTGCTCACTCTACTCCGCCACCACCAGCGTCTAGACTCCCGGGATCTTGTCCTGTCTCCAATCTTCATATCAGCATACGCTTAATGAAGACGCTTCTCAACAATAGAGTTGTTAAATCGCTAAAACCTACAGTGCTTATTCAGATCAAAGACGAACTACATGATAACCTGGTTAACACTGAGGTGAAGCTGCAGATCCACACACAGGATGTGAGCACACTGATGCAGAGGAACTGTAGTTGTGTGTGTGTACCTTTAATAGCTGTGGTGGCCTTAGTGGCCATCCTGCCCACCAGACACTCCTTCAACATGGACTCATAGTTCACCCATCGATGGACCTGTGCACAAAACACAAAAATTACCATAGCAACACATATATAAACCGCCCACAATTAAACAGATCACAGAACAACATCAAGCTTCAAGGCCACCAAAATAAAACATGTTCCAGTCGTCCCAAGGTCCAGGGGCTTGTTTTTAGTCCTGCTGAGTTTTTTCAGGATCATGTTACAGTCAATGCTTTAGTTTGTTTTAGTTTTGTCTTTTACCAATCTGACACTAACATCTACTTGAATTTTGAAAAAAAAACAGACAAAAGCTACAAGAAGACAGATCTTAAACATGACTTTCCAATAAATAACATAAAATATCACACCAACTATAAAAACTATACTAAACTGACTTTTAACCTTGGACCATTTTAACTATGGAGGTTCCTTTATCACTGTCCACACCTGATCAAACAGGTCAGTGCCATCTATCCCAGCTGCCTTCATCAGCTCCTCCTCTCCACCAGGGTGGTAGTCCATGTAGGGGGTCACGTTGTACACCATACCTGAGCACAGAGAGAGGGCCAGAGTTAGCGCCTCACATCCATGTCGGCCCAATACATGTAGTGAAAACTCTACAACCCAGCAGCACAGAAGATCTGAACAATCACCGTAGTGTGAAGGTGGGCTCCAACGATCAGTGTCACCAAGTCAGTATCGAGTTACAGCGGTGATTAATGGCCAGAACATGATGATATGATGTCACAGTGAAGTTGACCTTTGACCTTTAACCTTTTGGATATCAAATGTCATCACTTCAATATTTTATTCTCTTAGATATTTGTGTGAAATTTTATCAGCGTATCAATTCTTGAGTTATGGCCAATAGGTTTTGAGGTCTCTGTGACCTTTAACCTTTGACCTTTAACCACCAAAATCTAATCAGTTCATCAGTTAATCAGTCCAGAGCCCTCTGCTGACAGAAACTGGTTCCAGCATACACACTGATGGAAATAAACCTATTTAATATTCAGTAAAGTCAAATGACTATTTTCCACTACAGAAAGTCATATTATCAATGTGTAGACAGAACACTGTCATTTCTTGACATTAGAAAATAGTACAATATGTTTTGTTTTTTTTTAAGTTAGCACTGTATTTGTTTACACAAGGAAGGATATAGAACACTATGACTTTCAGCCACTGTTACAACACAGTGAGTCTCAATAAATAGAACACAAGTGTAGATGTATCTGAAACAACAGTTCAGGGCTCATACTGGTGAGCTCAGAAGCTTCCACCTCACCAGAGGACCACAGAAGACCAGTGTAGGAGGTGATGAAGAACAACAACAGAAGAACAGTTCAGGAACACCTTTCAGGGTTAGGGTTTGCATTTGTCAAAATATCTCCTCAAGAGAATAATACACTAGCGTAACGTCATCGGCTTACACTTCATCAAAGTTATGAGAGAAAGAAAAGAGAAACTACAAGAGCAGAGAAGTGAAGTGTGGTGGGCAGGTGAAACTGTACCATGGAAGTATGAAGAGAATAAGGAAGAGCTTGTGAGCCGCACCACCTCATCTGTCATACAGGGTGGATGTGGTGGCGTTGTGGCTTGAGCATCTACAGTTCCAGTGGAACCAACTCCCTGAGTTTACTGATGATGGCATGAATGCAACAGAATTATTAAACCCTTTATGGTGAGTTGTTGAAGCTTTTGTTGTTCAGTTACTCTTGTCCCTTGAAACTGATAGACTATGCACAAAAACTGTTACAAAAAAGATTAGTTCAGACTAACAACAGCTGTGTGATGTGTTCTGTGGTGCCAGAGCATGGGAAAATAACTCTGATGATGTCATCATCTTAGAGGATCAAGAGATGATGAACACAATTAACACATGAACAACACAACAACAAATTCTTCCCGTGTTGTAACACATAACTTTCTTAACCATGTTGAGCAATGCTGCTTTAGCAAGAAGGCTAATCTAAGCTACGCTAACAAGATATTACATCATCAAATTTTACAAACAGAGAGTCTGCTTTACAAACTGGAGGTGTGAAGTTTAAAAAAACATGGTGGTAATAACAAGAGTAATTATTGAGTTGAGTAGTCTGAGATCCAGTGTTTCTGAAGCTTGTCTCAAACAAACGACTAAAGCTCAGGATCCTCTGTTGCATCAATTTATCTTTTTGTTTTTTTCTGTCTCTTGCAAGTTCCTCAACTAAAGCACAGTGAGCATGTCAGAAACCTATGTGTTATTATGAAAACAGCTTTATGCCAGTTAAAAACATGTCCAAATTTAGGGGCTTCCTGTCCCAGTCTGACTCTGAAAAACTGGTCAATGCATTGAGCTGCAGCAGAGTAGATTACTGTAATGCCATATTTGCAGGACTTCCCAAAAACACGACCAGCTGTAGTGAAAACTCTTCACTGGCTGCCACTACAACACACAACTGACTTTAAAATACCGTTGCATGTTTACAAGGACACAAATGATGTGCCTCCGATCTGTATTTCTGACCTGCTCACTGGTTGTGGAACAGTTAGACCCTCAGATCATCATACACATGTCTCCTGAATGTACCAACAATTAAAACTAAATCCAGTAAAGGGGAACTTAGTCACTATGATGCTTGTGCACACTTGCTTTGTACACCTGAAAGGTTATTATTGTATTTATGTGTGTGTTTTATGTTCCATGTTTTAATGTGAAGCACTGAGCTTAGTTGTATATGAAATAAATTGACTTGATTAAATAGCTCTGTTAAATCAAAAGAGATGGAGTGCAGAGTCAGCAGCAAAAATGTGTCCAGTACTTATATGAGTCTTAAGCTTTTACTGGCCAAATGCATGTGTTGGCCTTTATGTAAAATGTGATTTCAAAAGTACCTTGCACACTTTTGCTAAGCGCACATTTAAGTCTGTGAGGGTTCAGTGGTCATCCTGCCTGGAAACAACTCTCTAAATTCCACTTTATTCAAGAGAGTGGGGTCAAGTGTCATTAAGCTGGCATCAAGTATCCTTCAAATCAGCTGAATACTACAGCTGCCACGCAATGTCTTTATCTGTTTCTTTGAAATGTAAAACCATGCAGACTCACCTCGAATGCAGGTCCAGCAGTCATCTCTGGTATTGTGTTTCTGAAGCTCCTCCTGGGTGACTTCAATCAAGCGCCCTCTGAGTCCTGTCAGATCTTTGCCACTCTTGGAAAACCGGATCCAGTCCATCAGACTGTGGCCAGGCTTTAAGGCCACCTACACAGTTTAGAGCAGAGTCATGCAGCAGATGATTGGAGAGGTCATGAGTGAAGACAGCACACTCATCGTCTGCACAGGCGGCAGGATACTGCTGTAATTTATGTAGCTTTTATTTTGAAGTGATACCCACTATAATGTTGCTTATAAGTATGTCTTGAAGAAATAATGGCTGAAATCTGAAATAAGCATAGATGACTTTAACTATTATTATGGGTCGTAAATGTCAATCAACTCTGTGCTGTCAGGTTATCAAATCGAGTTCTGTTTACTTTCTGTACAACAATTTTCACCTGCTGTGAGTGGAGTGATACCATGGTCAAGGCAGTAATGCAACTCCATAGATGTCAGCTGCCGTTAAAAGTCAAGGAATAAGAAGAGGCAAAGAATGAGGAGGAGGAGGAGGAGGAGGAGGAGGAGGAGAATGAGAATGAAGAAGGAGAACAACAAGAGGGAGGACGAGGAGGTGAAGAAGGAGGAGGAGAAGAAAAAGGAGAAGAAGAAGAAGAAGAAGGAGAGGGAGGAGAAGGAGTAGTAGTAGAAGAAGAAGAAGAAGAAGAAGGAGAAGAAGAAGAAGAAGAAGAAGAAGAACAACAACAACAACAACAACAACAACAACAACAACAACAACAACAACAACAAGTTACCTTACTCCTCCCGGACTGGCCGGACGGTGAGACCCTCTGCTGGGAGCTGGGCGCAGGGAAGGACTGGGTCGGAATGTTCAACATGTCGTGAACGCTTCGTAGACAGCCCCAGTTTCGAAGAAAACCTGTTTAAACAGCGGCAGTTCACCACAGTGAGCACATGAACGACAGCAGTGTAGCCTCGCTGACTGCTAGCTGCTATTGCTACAAGTTCCTCCCGTGTTGTAACACATAACTTTCTAAACTGTGTTAACCAATGCTGCTTAGCGAGAGGGCTAATCTTAGCTAGACTAACCAGAATTACGTTCTGACAGCCTAACTTATAACAGTCAATTATACGTCGTCATGTTAAATTTCGATAAAAGTTAATATTTCCCGTGTTGATTAAATAATTAACAACCAAATTCGACCGTTGCTCGATGTCTAGTGGATAATTGCGAGCTAACTCCTGCGTTTGAGCTCCTGTGCCGTAAGGACTACAATAACTGTCGCACATTCTGACGACATCGTCAACAAATGGCGTCATCACATTGCGACGGTCCTCCGTTGCCTGTCCATTTCCTCTGCTCGTATCAGCAAACAGTACCAGTGTTTACAAAAGCTACAAAACATCAGCACAGTGACGTCACCTCTGGATGTGTTAATCAAAACATGTTTTTGTCACTATCAATATTTTATCAAGAAACATAATAACGATGGGCTGCATTTCACTCAGTTGTGACAGTCCCTATAGTTATAGTATTGTGCCTACCGGCTCACAGACGTGGTTCAGAGCAGAGTCATCATTAGTGTATTTCACTCAGCTACATTTAAACTGACGTGAAGTATTACTAACCCACCTGAAATGAACCTGTTTAAAGACACAGTGAAGAATGAAGCATTCCGTCCTCCGCTTGAGTCACTGTCAGCATCATCCTCCTCTGAATCTCTCTGGTTTTCATCTGACATAGTGAAGATGTGGTGTCTCACACAGCTTTGATGGAGTATTCATGTGCAGTGTAGTGCAGCACACCTCTCACTCCCATCATGGAAACCCAAGGGTTTCCTTTGAAAGGCTTATCTGCTAAGAGGATTCCAGGACAAGAGCTCTCTGACTTCACAATAAAGGCACATGTGCACCTAGTCAGGACCTGACAGAGCTTATGTTTAATGCTGATGAACTGAAAGGGGTTACGAACACTTTACAATAAGACTACCCTTATAAGGGATTCATAAATTATTTATAATTAGGTTATTAATTCCGTTGTTAGCACTTTATAAATCATAAATAAACAAGTTATAACACAGTTTTCATACATTGATACAGGCTCACTATTTGGTTAGATCAGGTTAATGCTTACTACTCATTAATCTTACTGGCAATTGAGGTCCTTTTACCAGTTATAAATAATAGTAAATTGTGTGTTTTACACTTGACAATAAGGCTCCTTTTATAAATGTTTGTAAAATGAGATAATGAAACATGAAGATGATGGAGGGAGAATCACAGAGATGTGAACAGGGACAAAGAATGGGTGAACAGTTCACCAGGTAAAGGAAGGTTCCCACCTGTGTTCTAGCTGGAATGCTAAAGTCGTAAAGAAGAGACCAAGCAGCAAAAAGCATCTCCATGTTAATCTCCTGTGATTATAATGAGGATGGCTGCTGAGAGCATGTCTGTCTAAGATGCTGATGGTGGTTAACTACTAGTAACTTAACAAACGTGATGAAGCAGCAGCTACAAATGCTGATGATGGAGAAAACAAAGAAAGCTCAGCAACTAATGAGATATGAGGCTGAACAGTACAGAGAAATGTGGGCTCACTATTCGGCAAGTAACAGGTCACTTAAGGCCTTTGTATCGGATGTATAATAACAGCTTATAAATGATTCATGAAGTGCTCACAAGGTCATAAATAAACTAGTCATAAACCAGTCATAAATCTTTTATAAGAGTCGCATTATTGTTATATAGTAATACAGAGCCCTGGAACTGGCTCACAGCCACTACTAATGTTATCAACTACACCTGTGCTCTTCCTGAGATGAAAAGGTGTATGCACAATTACACAGACTGAAATAGAAGCGTTGGTTACTGATTGGATGGTCAGTGAGCGGCCTCAGTAGTTTGCTGCTAGTCTCTGTGAGCTGCCAGGGGCTCCATATGTAGCTCTGGTGGGGGATTACATGGGAATGTAAGATCTCCATCTGCAAGGTCTTCAAACTCCCACCTCCTAAGGAGTTTTTCCGGAATCCTTCAGAAGGCTGGAGGTGTTGAATTTGATTGTACCCTGTTCAAAACCTTCACTGCTCCTGAGCTGCTTGGTGTTACAACCAGAAGGTCACCTGTCATAGCAACTGGAGCAACCAGGAAACCCAGGGAGGGCCCTCTGGTCCACGCCAGCAGGGAACTCCTAAATTAGGCTTGCAGTTGGCCTCAAATAAATGAATGTGTACATAAAACTGAAACTATAAAGATGTACACAATTAAGTTTATTTAGTCTTTATTACACACTTACAGTTTCTTTTGCACACACACACGCATACATGCAGATAGAGTTTCACAACTCTCCACACATTTGCTAATAGTGTTACTAATAATACCCTGTACTCAAAGAGCAAACAGGGTCTGGCTTCTGGATTCACTTGATTGATTGATTGATTGATTGATTATTTCATTAATTCATTCATCCTTGACAGAGTCACTTTTTATAGACAGCAGAGCTACTTCACATATTTCCATTTCTACAGGCTGTATTATGTTCACTCATTCAAATTGTCAGCAGTAATTTCTGTTGGTTAATAACTTTGTATCTAAAAAAAAAATTTTTTAACTCAAAAAGAATAAGAAGAAGAATAAGAAAAATAAGAATAATAATTTACATGTGTGGTTTCAGAGGCTAAGACTAAGTTTTAGAGGAGTTAATCAGTAGAGCAGCAGCTGTGTCATTCTTCACTCCACCTCACTCATGTGGAAGTTCTTTACTTTCTCTGTTTCTGCTAAATTATTTTATTTAGTTTATTTATTTATTTCATAGAGATGATAGCTCCAATAAAAAAGCCTGAAACGGATGTGTTGCACACAGAGTTTATAGCTTTTGCTAACTCTTGTCCCTATTTGGACATGTACAGTGTAATTAAAACAATCAGTTTTCATTATCATAAAACCACAGTAAACTACAGATATGAAAGTAAAATACTATATTGATTATTAATAAGTTCTACTGTTTTTTACAATAAAGTTTACATTGAACAACAGCTTGCAGCACTACATGTTCTTCTATGCAGCTCCCTGCAGATGGCGGCAACGACTTTTTTTTGTTCCATCACATGGCAACATGATCACAGACAAACACTGAGTTCAGTTCTGTTGGACATTGCACTCACACTCAGAGGGACTGTTTTCAATTTCAGTTTCAGGGACTGAAGTCAATTTTACACATAGAGCTAAATGCTCTGCACTGATGTGACTAGTGCATCTAGCAGTGTGATGTTTGTTATGCTGTATCCTACCACTGTTCTCCTTCTCTTGCCTTCTTTTGTATTCCACCTCTCTCTCTCTCTCTCTCTCTCTCTCTCTCTCTCTCTCTCTCCCTCTATCTCACGTCACTCCTCCCATCTCTTCCCTTTTCCCTGTAGATCCAGCACAGGGGCAGATAATTACAATTTCAAAACCATTTGCCAGATCATTACCAGCTAATCCCATGTTTGGTCTGATGAGTCACGCGCCTCATTTGCCACGGTGCGGGGCAGCTTGGGACCCTTTCACAAACACTCGCCAAGGACCACCAGCCTGCCCTGTGGGGCCACCACACCACTGGGGTTGGGGTTGAGGGTGGGTGGTGGGGGTGTTCCTCTGGGATAAGCAGGGATCACAAGACCCAGTAGAGTAGGAATTAGAGGACAGAGTGCTAAGTGTGAATCTAGACGAGATTTTTAATTATTATTTAGACTTGTGTTTGCTGGAAAAGACTGTATCCACTCTGACTAATTGTCATCATTATCTTGTCTAAAGCATAAGAAGCCCCTCACTGCTACAGTTCATACTACTTACATTTAAAATGTTGATTTGCTCAAATAAATTGATTATCCTTTCATTTGTGTTTATTTAAGCCGCATCTAATTTAAAACAATCAAGAATAACTCATCATTTCCTGTAATGAAACTGTGTTTTAGAAACTTTGTAATAAGTTGAGTTCACAAAACTCCATGAAAATGAATGTCACCTGTAGTGACCCACCCTGCACTGACTGAACCAGTTTGAACTCGTTTTGATGGCAGTGGGGGTCAGCTGTTCGTGGAATTACTCTACTTAAGACATGTTTACTCTATTGCAGTATTTTAATCCAAATTGTACAGGTAACACAGCAGGATGATGTTCCAGGCTAGTCCAGCACATAGCAGACATGAACACAGGTGATGTTGGCAGAGTACAGTTCAATACATCCTTACCTGTGGTCAGAGTGATACCACCTGGTTAGAGACTATATGTATGTGTATTTTTAATACTCTACTTATTCGATGCAGCTTGTAAAACTTGTAAAGCCAAATGTGATTAGCACCCCAGCATGTGCACATTGAAGGAGCTATTTGTAAGTTTTGCTATTGCTACATAGCTAACGTTAGCATTAAAAGCTGTTTACTTATCAGTCTTGTCCAGAAGATCAGTCAAAAATGTATTTAAAATACACAAGGTTATAACATGCCTTCTGAGCTGCTACTTCTTCAGAGCAGACTGGAGGGCTACAGTGACTCAGTATCGGATAGTGACAAGAAGCCCTTCTTTCTCCTGGGGATGGCTGGGGGCAGCTCTGGGCAAATAAAGGACGGAAGTTTGATGTTGAACTGACATTGTTTCCTCTAAACTGGTAAGAAGGCTAATGTTAGCTATGTAGCAATAGAAAAACATACAAATAGCTCCTTTAATTCTAACGATATTAGTATAGCTCTCACTGTGGTAGCAACCTCATGTTACTTTATATGATTAGCATGTCTGGTGTTGTCAGCTAAGACCTAAGATGAAAACTGCCTCTGTATGATACAGGGTTTTTTACATATGGCTGTTGTTATGAATGTGATACTGTGGTTTCATTGAGTCAGTCCCTCTCTGACATCAACAAAAACTGAACACAAAGTAGAAATACTTTTAGGCTTTTATTTTGTAGCCAACAACTTCCCGTCTTACAGATGATCGAAGGCTTTGGAAGATGTAGTGCGGTTCTCCTTGAGTTATAAGTACGTCACAGTGGGACGGCTGCAGTTGGTCAGCAGATCATGAGTGTGTTAATAGAAGACATTCAGGTGATGCGGAAGTTTTAACACGGTAACATTTATAAATTGTTTATTATTTATAAATTATTATAAATTTATATCAATTATTTAGTAGTTTGTTGTTCATCCTGCAGGGTGTCATGGGGTCAGCCTTAGAGACAGGGTGAGGAGCTCAGAGTAGAGTTGCTGCTGTTTTGTGACCAATGGAGCCAGT